AGCGAACACCAGACCGAAACACCGACGCATCGCCAACCTCCCCCGTCCAAAGCAGGGTAGGCGAGGTCTCTGGCTGGGAGACACGGGGCCAGAGGTTGAGCTGATGCGCTGCGTATCAGACCGCAAACGGCCATAGAAAATGGGGAGCAGCCGCATGCATCATGGAGGTGCGAGCAACCTCCATGATCAAACCAATGCGGCGCTCAGCAATCCCATTCTGCTGAGGAGAGGTTGGAAGCGTGAACGTCTGGGTGATGCCCTCCTCACGACAAAAGTCCTCGAGGAGGCTGGAGGAAAACTCACCACCTCAGTCAGAGTGCAGCCGCAGCACCGGGAGGTCCTTCAGGAACCGTGCGCTGAGCTGGAGACGAGCTGCGCGGATCCAAGGGATCAAGACACTACGGACATCCGCCTTGCGCTGCAAGGGGAACACCGTGGTGTAGCGCGTGAAGTCGTCAATGACCAATAGAAAGTAGCGCACCCGGCCTGGCCCAGAGATGGGGGCGGGGCCCCACACGTCCATGTGCAGTGTCTGCAGAGGAAACGAGGAGGAATGAGGAGTGGCACGCTACAGCCCCTCGACGCAGGGAGTGCACGGCGGCGCAAGCGACCGCGGGAGCAGGGGCAGGGACTGCGTGAGGCCAGAAACTAGGCGACGCGAGTGCATGCTGCGGAGGCAAGGAAGGGAGGGGTGACCAAGACGGTGGTGCCAGAGGAGGGACTAGTGCGTGAGCAACCGGCACGAGCAAGACGCCGCTACCTAACCTGACGCAGCTACCTGAGCAGACTCAGTGTGCAGTGTGTACAGTCCGGACCTAGGCCTCCGAGTGAACGTGGCAAGGTGATCGCCAGTCACTGTGTCCGTACAGATCGACACGTCCTCGCCCCCAGGAGTGATGGTCGTGACTAGCAGATCCTGGAGGGCAACAGTACTCACCAAGTTCGTAGCGAACAAGGGGAGGTTGAAACCTATGAGGGAGCCAGAGGGGGCTGTCGGACACGGGAGAACAGTGGTGCTGCGTGCAACGACTGGGCCAGGGGAGGGGTCAGCCAGAGTGACAGGGAGGGGTGTCGTGATTGGTGTGAGTGTGGTGCAGTCACGAAAGAAGCACCTCGACGCTCCAGAGTCCAGTGTGAAAGTATGCAAAGCCTACTCAGGGGCTGTACCAGAGCTGGTAGTCTCACAGGCACCTACACCAGCAGCCTCTACACTACCAGATCTAGGTGCACAAGAATAACAGTCAGCCTCAGCACTAGCAGAAACAGCATACATAGCATACATGTCAGCAGCGATCTTGTCCCAATCAAGAGCAAACACATCCACCCCCTTCTGGAGCAATCATAACCACGGAAGGCGTCCTCGAGGCGGTAGAAGCAGGGAGTCTCAGTGTGCCCCGCCCTTCCGCAGGGCTCACCAGCCCTCGCACCTCTGCGCCTGGCGTACGGGCAATGACCACTACCACCAGAGGAGCCACGCTGGGCAACCCACTCACGAAGCTGCTGCGGCGAGAGAGTGTCTTGCCGACGTGAGTGCTGCTGCTGTCCACCCCCAGAGCCTCCGCCTCCACGAGCTACACCACCAGACGCAGCTCCCGAGCCTCCACCCCCGCCAGCTCCACCTCGACCGCCACCCGAGCCCCCTCCGCCACCCCTACTGCCTCCACCACCCCCGCCACCTCCACCGCCACCGCTACCTCCACCACCCCTACCACCGCCACCGCCACCACCCCTACCACCGCCACCGCCACCACCCCCGCCACCGCCACCACCTCCGCCACCTCCACCACCCCCACCACCCTTGCGCTTCAGACGACCACCGTTGTTGCGCCTCCCACTAGGAGTGGACACTGCAGCGGCCTCCTTAGCACCAAGGAAGTCAACAGCAGCAGCAGAGGCAACAGAAGGCGCTAGGAGGGAAGGAGAACAACCCTCAAAGAAGGAGGAGCGGGGAGTGCCACGAAAGGCAGCGACAACGACGGTACTGGTCTCAGCCTCGAGGAGACGAGACTCAAACGAGGCAAGGGTGAGCTCGGTAGGGTCTAGGGAGAGGAAGTGGTCGCGAACAGCGCTAAGAGAGTCGGGGAGGCAAGTCGTGAGGAAGTAGAGAGTGAGATACATGGGGGGCTGGTTCTCAGCCAGAAAGGTTGGCTTGAGTGCAGCACAGTAGCGCGTGTCAAGGGAGCGCAGATGAGTCAAGAGGTCGGCTACAGTGGTGAAGTCTAACAGCTCAGGGAAGAGGAACGGCAGCGCAAGACGACCTATAGTGGCAGACGACGGAGACGAGTAGCGCTTAACTACAACGTCATAAAACACTTTGGCCGTCTTCAGCTGGCAAAAGTGGGGCCTCTGGTCTAGCGGGAGGTGGCTACGGACAGCAAGCTGGGTGATGGCGTCGCGCGAGAGCCACTCAGAAGACGCAGTGCGATCAGTATTATACTGCTGTCGCGCACTATCAGGAACGGACGGGCCATGGTCAGTATGGACGAAGGGGCCTGAAGGGATCCTGACGTGCGCTCATAAAGGGAGACATAATCCTTAGTGACACTATGCAGATACAGGTGAAGGTCCTCTAGCCAGGACTCATACTCGATCGGGCGGCCCTCCGCGTCAAAAGTCAGTACAGTGGCAGTCGCCATGGCAGGCAGCACGAGCAGCAGCGGCGCTCAGGCAGCAGTGGCAGAAGGGCGGCGGCAGCGGCTGTGCGCCAGTAGCAGCTAGAGCAGAATGAGCGGCGGTAGTGGTGGCTGTAGCAGCAACGATTATCATCAGTTGTTTTCCAGCTGTATGGATTATGCTAGAATTAAAACCGTTGGTTGCCGATGTCACCGAAAATCTGATGGCTTATAGGCATGCTGGGTGTAAAGTGTTGTCTGAAGGAGCACAAGGAGCTTTATTAGATAAAGATCATGGCACCTATCCCTTTGTGACCGCTTCTAACACGACTGCCGGCAATGCAGCGACTGGCACAGGCATTGGACCTTTGTATTTGGACTATGTGCTAGAGATTGCAAAAGCATATACGGCCCGCGTGGGATCTGGCCCTTTTCCTACCGATATATTTGCCGCTGATGGCGTACATTTAGCGACTCGTGGAGGTTTGGGGCTACGACTGGACGTGCGCGCCGTTGTGGCTGGTTTGACGCTGTGGCGGTGCGTAGATTGGCCCATGTCAATAGTCCATCGGGCTTGGCAATTACGAAGTTGGATGTACTGGATAATTTGCATACCATAAAATTTTGTATCGGGTATAAACACCATGATACCGTAATAACCGTGCGGCCTTTAGATGCCCAATCTCATGCCGATTGCGAGCCACTATATGAACAGTTGCCGGGCTGGAATTGCTCTACCATGGGCATTGATGGCTATGAAAATCTGCCCTACAATGCCAAACGTTATCTGCAACGTTTGGAAGAAGTGGTGGGAGTACCTGTAGAAATCATTTCTACGGGACCAGATAGAGAACAGACTATTATAGGAAAAGTGGACTGCTCGTTAATTTTCCCATTCATAGCGCGCACACCGCCTCTTTACAACTCTACCTGGCTAACGGGCAAGCGGTGCCTGCTGGCGCTACTGTGAGTCTGGCGGGCAAACAAAATATTTTTCCAGCGGTGGCTGTAGCAGCGGCAGCGGCGGTAGCAGCAGTGGCGGCAGCGGAAGCGGCAGTAGCAGTACCGGCAGCGGCAGTTGTAGCGGCAGTAGCGGCAGCTTTAGCGGCAGTGGCGGCGGCTGAAGTAGCAGTGGCAGCAGCAGCAGCAATTGTAGCGGCTGTAGTGGCAAGAGCGGCTGCAGCAGTGGCGTCAGTGAAGCAGTGGCAGCAGCGGCGGCTGCGACAGCAGCGGTTGCAATGGCAGGAGCGGCGGCTGGAGCGGCAGTAGCGGAGGCTGCAGCGGCAGTACGGGCAGCGAGCGTGAGTGCGCGGGCAGCGTGACTGCGCGGGCAGTGGAGTGCGCGGGCAGCGGCAGAGCGTGCGCGAATGCGCGCGGGGCAGGGCAGCAGCGGCGTACGTGGCGGCGACAGCTCGCGAGCAGCAGCGGCGTGCGAGCTGGGGCGGCGCCAGGCAGCGCGAAGGGCGCGCGCGAAGAGTAGCGTGAGGGGCACGTGTGGGGCGCTCGTGGGGCAGCGCTAATGGCGCGCGACAGGCAGTGCGACGGGCAGCAGCGACGACAGGGCAGTGGCGCGCAGCAGCAGCGCACGGCGAGCGGTGCAGCGCGCGGCGTGCTGGGCAGCGGGGCAGCGGGTCGCGCGCGGCAGTACTAGGCGCGCAAAAACAGCGCACTAGGGGCAGCGTGGGAGAGCGCGCTCGTGGGACAGTACGTGGCAGTAAGGAAGAGACCAGGTCCGGCAGTAGGTAAGGCTAACGAACCTACCCTAACTTTGAAACTAACCTAGCGACGGATACCATGTTAGGAACTGAATGAAGAAGGAATGATTGACTAACAGCACTGAGAAGTATAAGTAATAACCCTAATGGGTTGTACCCTGTATGGGCTACCCCACTACAGCCTAAACAACATATAATTGATTTTGACAGGTACGGTAGCCTAGTGGTACCATATATGTAATAGGAGGTCAACATCCTTGGCTTTTGCGCCAATGCATGATGAACCCCATACGGAACGGAACACACAGTCTTTGCAAGTTGGCGTAAGCAAGCTTTTACCTTTAAAGCCCATCATCGTTCCCTCTAGGATTTTATTGGTTACGGCCACAATACAATATAATCGTACCGGTAAATCGGAGAAAAATAACATGTAGCAATGTTAAACACTAGAAAAATAATACAAATATAAACAAGCAGGTGTGAAAAGAAGGTACGGTACGGTATTCAAAAGCAGTGGATTTCTTAACAAATGAACCTCTCAGTGTGGAAATAATGTTGTTGGGAATCTATATACGGTACCTTTCCTGCATGGCCATAAACCCTTGGCAACCCTGCACTAACAACTGACATCCACACCCATGGCAGCTTGCCGGGCAGCAAGGGCTCTCTTTGATTACAAGTAGCGTGTGGGGTGGCGGTGCTTGATGCGCCTCAGAAGCAGTGGCAATGCGAAGGCCAGCTGGAGCACTGCCAGAGGAAGCACCACCAGCAGCAGCAAGCGATTCTGAGGCTGCTGGAGAAGAGCCAGAGCCACTCCCATGGCTGAAGTTTCTGGTGGTTCACAGGGTGGGTTGTGGAACGAGCAGGGGACAGGATTGGTGCTGGCAGTGGGGATAAGGAGAGCTGGAGGAGTGGGAGGAGGTGATGTGTGGAGAGGAGAAGGGAATTGGTGGAGCAGGCGCACAGGCACTGGCACAAGGGGTCGACTGGTGTGCTCAGTGGGGCTGTGCTATGGGCAGTGCGGCCTGGGGTGTTCTGGGTTGTGGGTGCGTTGGGCCTTCACACGAACACGCCCTTTCAGCAAAGTGGTAACGGCTGTGCTTATTAAACACGTATTTGTTAAGGGAGCCAGAGGAGGTGTGGAGGAATGTGAAAGAAGAGCAGGGTGCACAGAATGACAGGTACACATGATGCTGACTCAGCGTGGTATGGGCAGTGGAATGAAACAAGTCAGACATCCAAGCGTGAATGCGCGGGTTCACTTGGGTGGAAGTGGTGGCACTGCCACTCTCCCTTGGCCCAATAGCTCCATTCCTCAGGCAGGTGGAACGAGTCGGGCCGGTGAGCCCTTGGGATAGGAAGCAGGCACGTTGGCAAGCAGGCTTTGGAAGACGAAATGCAGCAAGGACGAGCTTATGGCGGAAAAGGAAGAGAAGAAGAAAGCAGGCATCAGCGAGCGAGAGCACTCATCAACAGGCATAGCATACCGTGAGGGACGCACGTGCCAGCTGCAGTCCCTGGCGTGTACCCCTCATCACAGTCGCACTGGCCCTTGGGTTGATAATAGGGTGGCGGAGTCTGATACTCCTCAACACAGCAGGCAGTCATTTCGTGAGAGAGGTCAGGCACGAAGGAGGAGCACACGCCATGGCCGCTGCACGGCGGGGTGAGCGGCTGCGCCCCACAGAACGCGCGGCACTCGCTGTCACGCCTGTGAGCCTGGTCACTGTAGCAGAACAATGAGTTGTCTTCAAGGCAGTTGTGGTGGAACAGACACATGCTGTAATATTCGGCAGGGTCGTCTTCGCCTTGAGCGTTGAGAAAGAGTTGGTCTGCTGTGGCTGTGAGGTAGTTGTGTTGCGCTTCTAGCGAGGTGAGACGGGCCATGTGGTGGAAGGAGGGAAGCTCTCCCGCCAGCTGGTTGCTGTCAAGGTGGCTGTGATGGCAAGGGACGGCGGGAGAGGAAGAGAGGTGGGAAGAGAGAGGAGTGGTTGGGAATGGGAGTGACGGGAAAGAGGGAGTGAAGGGAAAGGAGAGTGATAACGAGACAGTAGCATGTGCGTGTTGAGTCGTCGAATCCGATTTTTTTTTTTTTTTTGTAAGAGACAGTAGCTCTTTGTGGGCTCTCAGCTGACGTGCTTAGCCTTTGATTTCTCGTAAGATTCGCTGGGCGTAGACGGAGCACTCATAAGGAAGTAACTGGATTGCATCAAGGTGTGAGTAAGATGGCTCTACACGAACGATGGGAGACGCGGGAGGGGAGAGTACATAGTGTCATGGGAGGAAACTACTGGATGGATTTCATTGAAAAGCAAAAACGGCCGCGGTTGATAACTTGATACCGTTGAAGATGCTGCGTTTTGCAAGAAGAGTGGAAGTGACGTGTGGGTTGCAGAAAGCGACTTGTTGCGAGCAGTTGGGGTGGCGTTTCGCAGGGAAGAAGAGATGGGTAGTGCTGATGGTTGTTGGAGTGGTGGTGATTGCACCCAAACATACCTTGTTGGAGTCGACTCAGAAGGTTACTCAGTCAGGCTGTTGTTAAAATCACTCAAACACACCACCATTCAACGACGACACAGTGAGTGGTGAGGGGCCAACCGAGGGGGTAGTGGGATTAGTGAGGAGGCACTGACAGGCTTAGGAGATTAGTGAGCGCGGTGATTACAGCAGGTATCGTGCCTGTAAGGCGATTGTCGCTGAGTTTCCTGAAGAGAGGTGGATGAATGGACATGGAGGGAAGGAGAGAAGAAGAGGGAAAGAGGAGAGGAGAGGGGAAGAAGAGGAGTAGAGGAGAAGAGGGGAACACGGGAGGAGGGGATGGGGAATAGAAGTACAAAAGGAAAAGAAGAAGGTGCGAAGAGAAAAGAGAAGAAGAGGGAAGACGAGAAGAGGAGGAAAGGAGGAGAGGAAAGGAGGACAGAAAGACGAAGAGGAGAGGAGAGGAGAGGAGAAGAGGAGAGAAGTGGGAGGAGAAGATGAGAGGAGAGAAGCGAAGCGGGAAGGATAAGAAGCCAAAGATGGTGCAGTCGAAGAGTGTGAGTGCTGCAGTGAAAGTAGTGTGCTTTGAGCACACCCACAGCAGCAGACGGTACTGCCGTCAACAAAAGGGTGCCTCCGCACTCTCCTATTCATTGCCTTCATTTCCACTCCCTCCCTCTAATTCTGTTCCTTTCCTAACTCTACCCACCCTCTCAAACCCCCGATGCTTGCCAGAGAGGCAGGTGGAAAGAAGGCATGGAGAGGGGTGGAGCGAGAATGGGAGAGAGAGGGGTGGAGCGAGAATGGGAGAGAGAGGGGTGGAGCGAGAATGGGAGAGAGAGGGGTGGAGCGAGAATGGGAGAGAGAGGGGTGGAGCGAGAATGGGAGAGAGAGGGGTGGAGCGAGAATGGGAGAGAGAGGGGTGGAGCGAGAATGGGAGAGAGAGGGGTGGAGCGAGAATGGGAGAGAGAGGGGTGGAGCGAGAATGGGAGAGAGAGGGGTGGAGCGAGAATGGGAGAGAGAGGGGTGGAGCGAGAATGGGAGAGAGAGGGGTGGAGCGAGAATGGGAGAGAGAGGGGTGGAGCGAGAATGGGAGAGAGAGGGGTGGAGCGAGAATGGGAGAGAGAGGGGTGGAGCGAGAATGGGAGAGAGAGGGGTGGAGCGAGAATGGGAGAGAGAGGGGTGGAGCGAGAATGGGAGAGAGAGGGGTGGAGCGAGAATGGGAGAGAGAGGGGTGGAGCGAGAATGGGAGAGAGAGGGGTGGAGCGAGAATGGGAGAGAGAGGGGTGGAGCGAGAATGGGAGAGAGAGGGGTGGAGCGAGAATGGGAGAGAGAGGGGTGGAGCGAGAATGGGAGAGAGAGGGGTGGAGCGAGAATGGGAGAGAGAGGGGTGGAGCGAGAATGGGAGAGAGAGGGGTGGAGCGAGAATGGGAGAGAGAGGGGTGGAGCGAGAATGGGAGAGAGAGGGGTGGAGCGAGAATGGGAGAGAGAGGGGTGGAGCGAGAATGGGAGAGAGAGGGGTGGAGCGAGAATGGGAGAGAGAGGGGTGGAGCGAGAATGGGAGAGAGAGGGGTGGAGCGAGAATGGGAGAGAGAGGGGTGGAGCGAGAATGGGAGAGAGAGGGGTGGAGCGAGAATGGGAGAGAGAGGGGTGGAGCGAGAATGGGAGAGAGAGGGGTGGAGCGAGAATGGGAGAGAGAGGGGTGGAGCGAGAATGGGAGAGAGAGGGGTGGAGCGAGAATGGGAGAGAGAGGGGTGGAGCGAGAATGGGAGAGAGAGGGGTGGAGCGAGAATGGGAGAGAGAGGGGTGGAGCGAGAATGGGAGAGAGAGGGGTGGAGCGAGAATGGGAGAGAGAGGGGTGGAGCGAGAATGGGAGAGAGAGGGGTGGAGCGAGAATGGGAGAGAGAGGGGTGGAGCGAGAATGGGAGAGAGAGGGGTGGAGCGAGAATGGGAGAGAGAGGGGTGGAGCGAGAATGGGAGAGAGAGGGGTGGAGCGAGAATGGGAGAGAGAGGGGTGGAGCGAGAATGGGAGAGAGAGGGGTGGAGCGAGAATGGGAGAGAGAGGGGTGGAGCGAGAATGGGAGAGAGAGGGGTGGAGCGAGAATGGGAGAGAGAGGGGTGGAGCGAGAATGGGAGAGAGAGGGGTGGAGCGAGAATGGGAGAGAGAGGGGTGGAGCGAGAATGGGAGAGAGAGGGGTGGAGCGAGAATGGGAGAGAGAGGGGTGGAGCGAGAATGGGAGAGAGAGGGGTGGAGCGAGAATGGGAGAGAGAGGGGTGGAGCGAGAATGGGAGAGAGAGGGGTGGAGCGAGAATGGGAGAGAGAGGGGTGGAGCGAGAATGGGAGAGAGAGGGGTGGAGCGAGAATGGGAGAGAGAGGGGTGGAGCGAGAATGGGAGAGAGAGGGGTGGAGCGAGAATGGGAGAGAGAGGGGTGGAGCGAGAATGGGAGAGAGAGGGGTGGAGCGAGAATGGGAGAGAGAGGGGTGGAGCGAGAATGGGAGAGAGAGGGGTGGAGCGAGAATGGGAGAGAGAGGGGTGGAGCGAGAATGGGAGAGAGAGGGGTGGAGCGAGAATGGGAGAGAGAGGGGTGGAGCGAGAATGGGAGAGAGAGGGGTGGAGCGAGAATGGGAGAGAGAGGGGTGGAGCGAGAATGGGAGAGAGAGGGGTGGAGCGAGAATGGGAGAGAGAGGGGTGGAGCGAGAATGGGAGAGAGAGGGGTGGAGCGAGAATGGGAGAGAGAGGGGTGGAGCGAGAATGGGAGAGAGAGGGGTGGAGCGAGAATGGGAGAGAGAGGGGTGGAGCGAGAATGGGAGAGAGAGGGGTGGAGCGAGAATGGGAGAGAGAGGGGTGGAGCGAGAATGGGAGAGAGAGGGGTGGAGCGAGAATGGGAGAGAGAGGGGTGGAGCGAGAATGGGAGAGAGAGGGGTGGAGCGAGAATGGGAGAGAGAGGGGTGGAGCGAGAATGGGAGAGAGAGGGGTGGAGCGAGAATGGGAGAGAGAGGGGTGGAGCGAGAATGGGAGAGAGAGGGGTGGAGCGAGAATGGGAGAGAGAGGGGTGGAGCGAGAAATGGGAGAGAGAGGGGTGGAGCGAGAATGGGAGAGAGAGGGGTGGAGCGAGAATGGGAGAGAGAGGGGTGGAGCGAGAATGGGAGAGAGAGGGGTGGAGCGAGAATGGGAGAGAGAGGGGTGGAGCGAGAATGGGAGAGAGAGGGGTGGAGCGAGAATGGGAGAGAGAGGGGTGGAGCGAGAATGGGAGAGAGAGGGGTGGAGCGAGAATGGGAGAGAGAGGGGTGGAGCGAGAATGGGAGAGAGAGGGGTGGAGCGAGAATGGGAGAGAGAGGGGTGGAGCGAGAATGGGAGAGAGAGGGGTGGAGCGAGAATGGGAGAGAGAGGGGTGGAGCGAGAATGGGAGAGAGAGGGGTGGAGCGAGAATGGGAGAGAGAGGGGTGGAGCGAGAATGGGAGAGAGAGGGGTGGAGCGAGAATGGGAGAGAGAGGGGTGGAGCGAGAATGGGAGAGAGAGGGGTGGAGCGAGAATGGGAGAGAGAGGGGTGGAGCGAGAATGGGAGAGAGAGGGGTGGAGCGAGAATGGGAGAGAGAGGGGTGGAGCGAGAATGGGAGAGAGAGGGGTGGAGCGAGAATGGGAGAGAGAGGGGTGGAGCGAGAATGGGAGAGAGAGGGGTGGAGCGAGAATGGGAGAGAGAGGGGTGGAGCGAGAATGGGAGAGAGAGGGGTGGAGCGAGAATGGGAGAGAGAGGGGTGGAGCGAGAATGGAGCGAGAATGGAGAGAGAGGGGTGGAGCGAGAATGGGAGAGAGAGGGGTGGAGCGAGAATGGGAGAGAGAGGGGTGGAGCGAGAATGGGAGAGAGAGGGGTGGAGCGAGAATGGGAGAGAGAGGGGTGGAGCGAGAATGGGAGAGAGAGGGGTGGAGCGAGAATGGGAGAGAGAGGGGTGGAGCGAGAATGGGAGAGAGAGGGGTGGAGCGAGAATGGGAGAGAGAGGGGTTGGAGCGAGAATGGGAGAGAGAGGGGTGGAGCGAGAATGGGAGAGAGAGGGGTGGAGCGAGAATGGGAGAGAGAGGGGTGGAGCGAGAATGGGAGAGAGAGGGGTGGAGCGAGAATGGGAGAGAGAGGGGTGGAGCGAGAATGGGAGAGAGAGGGGTGGAGCGAGAATGGGAGAGAGAGGGGTGGAGCGAGAATGGGAGAGAGAGGGGTGGAGCGAGAATGGGAGAGAGAGGGGTGGAGCGAGAATGGGAGAGAGAGGGGTGGAGCGAGAATGGGAGAGAGAGGGGTGGAGCGAGAATGGGAGAGAGAGGGGTGGAGCGAGAATGGGAGAGAGAGGGGTGGAGCGAGAATGGGAGAGAGAGGGGTGGAGCGAGAATGGGAGAGAGAGGGGTGGAGCGAGAATGGGAGAGAGAGGGGTGGAGCGAGAATGGGAGAGAGAGGGGTGGAGCGAGAATGGGAGAGAGAGGGGTGGAGCGAGAATGGGAGAGAGAGGGGTGGAGCGAGAATGGGAGAGAGAGGGGTGGGAGCGAGAATGGGAGAGAGAGGGGTGGAGCGAGAATGGGAGAGAGAGGGGTGGAGCGAGAATGGGAGAGAGAGGGGTGGAGCGAGAATGGGAGAGAGAGGGGTGGAGCGAGAATGGGAGAGAGAGGGGTGGAGCGAGAATGGGAGAGAGAGGGGTGGAGCGAGAATGGGAGAGAGAGGGGTGGAGCGAGAATGGGAGAGAGAGGGGTGGAGCGAGAATGGGAGAGAGAGGGGTGGAGCGAGAATGGGAGACGAGAGGGGTGGAGCGAGAATGGGAGAGAGAGGGGTGGAGCGAGAATGGGAGAGAGAGGGGTGGAGCGAGAATGGGAGAGAGAGGGGTGGAGCGAGAATGGGAGAGAGAGGGGTGGAGCGAGAATGGGAGAGAGAGGGGTTGGAGCGAGAATGGGAGAGAGAGGGGTGGAGCGAGAATGGGAGAGAGAGGGGTGGAGCGAGAATGGGAGAGAGAGGGGTGGAGCGAGAATGGGAGAGAGAGGGGTGGAGCGAGAATGGGAGAGAGAGGGGTGGAGCGAGAATGGGAGAGAGAGGGGTGGAGCGAGAATGGGAGAGAGAGGGGTGGAGCGAGAATGGGAGAGAGAGGGGTGGAGCGAGAAGGGAGAGAGAGGGGTGGAGCGAGAATGGGAGAGAGAGGGGTGGAGCGAGAATGGGAGAGAGAGGGGTGGAGCGAGAATGGGAGAGAGAGGGG